TTGGAATATGTACATATACAGTGCAGCCAAACACACGAGGAGTGAGAGTCAAGGAGGTAGGAACAGTGGAAAATTTTGCAAGTGTATCGATGGGTGTTTTGTGATTTAGGATTTTTGTTGGAAGACGATTTATGAGGTAAATGGTGGTTGCAATTGCTTCAGGCCAGTAATAAATCGGAACATTGGACTCAATCATAAGGGCCCTAGTGATTTCGAGTATAATCCGATTCTTACGTTCAGCAACGCCATTTTGTTGAGGGGTGTCAGGACAAGTGGTTTGATGGATAAGACCTTTTTCTTTGCAGAAATTTTCCATGGGATGATTTATGTATTCTCCTCCATTATCAGATCGTAAAATACAGATCTATTTTTGGTATTGTGTGTGGATCAATTTGTAAAATGAGGTGAACTTTTCAAAAACTTCAGATTTATGTTTAAGAAAGTACACCCAGGTCATACGAGTACAATCATCAACAAACAATAAAAAGTATTGATACCCATTTGGACTTGGTTCTAGAGATGGACCCCACACATCAGAATGGATTAATGAGAAAGGTTGTGATGCAACAGTGTTATTTAACAGATATGAATGTTTATGACTTTTGGCTAGAATACAACTGTTCCAATGAAACTGACATGATTTATTGAATAATTTTGGAAAGAGAATTTTGAGATACCCCCAAGATGGATGTCCCAAACGACGATGCCACAGCCATGCCTGCCTGTCCACTGTCCCATGAGCAAGTGTAGCTGTTCCATAGTGATCAACTTCATCAACATAGTACAGGCCATGACGCTCAGAACCACGCCCAATGATCTTCCCCGTCCGAATATCCTGTAATAAGCAAAAAGTGGGGTGCATTAGGACCATGCAGTTTAATTGTTTAGTGACATGGCTTATTGACAGCAATTTATGAGACAGTGTCGGAACATATAGACAATTATCAAGCCGGATAGATGTCGATATAGATATTGGACCGGTGCCCTCGACACGAGAATAATCCCCATTGGCCGTTTGAATATGAGTTTTCTTAGACCAATTTAAGGAATTAAAATCAGAACGGTCAAAGGACATTGTGTCAGTTGCCCCGCAATCAAAAATCCACTGGGTATTTTTAATTGGGTTCATATTGGGCCTGATTGATGGGCTGGGAGGAGATATTAAAAATCCCATCCCCCCCTCTTCCGTAACCCTACCCACTGTTTCGCCCTTCTCCTTCGCTGCGCCATTCACTGCGCCGACTTCATCTTCTTCACCTCTCTCTTTTCTTTCG